AGATCCCACACAGGACAGCAGATAGACTGGTCTAAAGTCAAATGCTTAGCTAGATATGGATACTATACCAGTAAGTTTAACATTAAGGAATCTACAGAAAGCAACAAAACAGACAACAATGGATATAAAGGAATGTAGGAAATTAAGCGAGAACTACTTGAGGCTGTTGGGGAGAATTAGAGAGAGAAAAAGAAGTAGCGTCGAGCAAGTAGGGGCTTGATTAGCCTCAAATATTGTTTTAATTCTGACACCTCTCGAGTCTCACGAGCATTGCATGCACACAATATACGTGCAATGGGACGCAATCACATGCGGCAACCTTGCAGGACCACAAATATAAATGACTTAGGGGAGGATGCAGTTGTTCGGTAACAATTGAATCAGTTCCATGTTTCATCCCCTGTCATTTCATTTTTCAACAGCATTTAAGAAAAGCATAAGATATCCATCCAAAAATGAGATGTCTCATTAAGTGGATATAGTTAGGCCGTAAAAAGTAGGTAGGATTGCAACCAGCCCCTTAACTTGTCTTTGTGCTTAATGAATTATCGCATAGCATGATGTCCATCACATGACGGACGAAAGCTGAGCAAAGATTCATCGAGGTGTCAGGCAGCGAGCCGAGGACTTATTCGCACAAATATAGTCACAGCTCCAAGGCAACCCTCCTTTGACTTCCGGCGAGAGCAACCTCCACTCGCCTCTTCAAATGAAATGAAAGGTACTCCAGCATCAATCATTTAAGAGATTCTATGAAAAGCGGCCTTTCTGACAGCGGTTGCATCCCAAGAGAAAGCCATTCACAGCTCTCTTGCCGAGAGAATGCCTGAGTATCTGAACCTGCAAGTCTAGTTCGGCAGTAGAACGTGATTCCAATTCGGAGGCTGTCACAAAGACAAAGCAGTCTCATTTGTTACCATACACAAATCTGACTCGTGCATATATAAAGAAATCTTTACAGTTACGCTTTAGTTTATGCCTTGGGTGTTTGTCTTCCTTTATTATATCATGTATATTTGAGAAAGTTTTAATATAACCATAAGCCTCTTTTCTTGCATTTGGTCCTATATGTCATCAATATTACAATTTCATACACATTTTGCCCTTTAATGAGCTCTGTCCAGTTCATTTTCTATATACTTCTAAGACAACTGCAATATGATACCCGAAGAGCTTTGAATGGGCCTCTATAATGGAAATTTTCGTCATATTATGCTAGTTAAATATCGAAAGCCACAAACATTGTGAGGATACTTTAAACATGATAATTTAATTTGCTCAAAAAACAAATGAATTAGGCTATTCCCTGGCCAAAATCCTTTTGATATAACAAAATAAGGTCAAAAAATTTCTGCATTTAAATGGTTCTATCACTAAAGAGGATATAGTCAACAGAAACACAGCTTAGTAATGCTGCCTAAAGAATAAAGTGAATATTTATTCGGGTTTCGCATATTTAAGAGCAAGATATTAACAGTTGCCTAATTATGGGGCACCTCTATATAAGTAAAGCATTAAAGTGGTCAGATTGATCACAAATAAGAAAGCATTCATACAATCTTAATAATAACATTAAAACAAGAATATTTAAAGGTAATATGTATTCAAACAGGCCAAACTGTGTTATAAATCAAGGATCCTGTTCAGTTTTCATTAATAAGTGTTCTTAGCCAAATAAGGAAGTGCGTTGAGCGACATTGTTCGAATACTTTTTAAGGAAATGACCACTTACAAATGCAGATACGTGCACACATACACATGATCTAAAGCACAATCTTTCATTGACTCTCCCATAACTTAATACAACAAAATTTAGATGTACAGAGGCATCCAATATATTCAACCTCCATTACACGTGTGTGAACAAATA